CCAGCACAACTTGATCATAGCTGAAACGTAAGTAATCCTTATGTTTTTTTAGGAGATGGGGAAAGGTCTATGAGCACCATAAAACAAAGTTGGTCTCACTACACTCACCAGGGAACTGTGATTCTGAAGAAGGCTACAGCATCCTATGGACCCCGAAGAAAGGGAAGTGGCAGCAGAAATAGGTGGCCTTCCAGAAATAGACCCCAAGTAGAGACTGAGAGAAGAGACCAGACTCTTTCTGGAGGGTCCTTGGTGAATTTTAATGAAAAAAATCATCATTATTTTCTTACCAGCAAAAAGAGTGAGGAACAGATCATTTCCAAGGTAATTTAGATGGGTCACTTCCCAGTGCAAAGGTGTTCGAGGTCTCCCAAGCTCATAGAAGGTCACATGTGCTGGCTGGTAACCCCAACAGTGCATGTGGCCCATTTACCACTGGGGCCCATGTGATGTGTTGCACGTGTGCAGATGGCACAACTGGGTCAGAAGTAGGTCCTCTCTAGTCCACTGGGCAGGCAGAGCAAAGAGACTGCACCCCACCCGAGGCCAACAGAGGCTAATGCCCAGCGTTTACCTCCTCCATCTGCTGTTGCTAGACCTCTGAAGAGCTCTCCCACACTGCCCAGCTGCCCCAGGTAAGCTCTGGGGAAGATACAGCTGCTGCTCCATGTCTCCTCCAGAAGGAGCAGCTGATTCTCTCAGTCTTTCATGTTATTTCTGGCATTTTCACTATAGATTTCAAATCAGGATAGTCCAATAAGCTGACTTTTGTTTAAAGAATATACTTTTATTGTCTTTTCTTTTAACCAACTGCCCATAAGATGTTCTTGTGCTTTTGAAAAGTGGTAATGGAGCATATGAGTCATATATGAGAATTATTACTACAGGAGCAAATTTTAAGAGGATTATCTTATTTGGAAAACACAGTAAGTGAGAAAATCAATCTGATTCCTGTCCTTGAATAAGAATCAATGAAGTGAGGGAAGGTTTAGAGTATTCTCTAGGAGGAGGATAAAATTACAAGGTCAAAAATAATGATAAATGGAAAAGTAGCAAAAGGACAGTTTTTTCCAGGATGGTGCTTTGCTGTGAAGGCTGAGACCCTCCAAAAGAGAACAGGTATTCTATGATGACCTTAACAGGGATGCTTCTGAGAGACATGAATAAATATTTAGTCTTATATTTTCCTCTGCAACTTCTTTTTTTTCCTTTTCTTTTTTTCTAAGAGAGATAGAGAGCTTGGGTGAGCATGGGGGAGGAGCAAAGGGAAAAGGAGAGAAAGAATCTTAGGTAGGCTCCCCACCCAGTGCAGAGCTGGACACGGCACTCAGTCTCATGACCCTGAGCTTGTGACCTAAACCGAAATGAGGAGTCGGACACTTAACCAACTGAGCCACCCAGGCGCCCTTTTCCTCTGCAACTTCTAACCCCATGACTGTGTCCCACAGAAAGATATAATATACATTGTGATCATTCTTGTATATTTCTATACTGATAACCCAAAAAGAGCTCAGAAAAAATTAGCCTCACTCTATGGTGTACTTTGATACCTATTATATTTTATCTGCAAAGAGGACATAAAAAAAAAATCCTGTTTGCAACACACTAAATTTTTTCGCCACCCACGATCTGAAAAACATTATTCTAAAATAAGTGGGAATTGGAAGCTCCAGGCTATGACCAGGTATCTCAACAGGGAGGAAAGATTACTGAACTTGGAATTGGGAAAACCAAACACAAGTCCAGGCTCTAATGTTGGTTAAAGGTAAAAACCTGCACACATATTCCTGCTTCTGGCCCTCGATTTCCTCATCTATAAAATGAGGCCAATACCATCTTCTCTGTCTACCTCACAAACCTGTCAAGGAAAAAAATGAAATAATTTTCCAAAGTGTAGAAATTACAGACTGTGTAATTTGAGTATCATTGTCTGAGTCATGATGGCCCCAAAGAGCGGCGTCTCCCCAGTAAGACAAAAATAAAAGACGGTGATCAATACTTTCAAGCTTTTATGAGACCAGTAGCCAGAGGTTTCTCCAGGAGAGAGGGAATGATTTGGGCAGATTGTTTAGTTGGAAACCTAGAGGCCACATTGACTGAGACACCCAGGCGCCCCTTTCTACTGTATTCTTAAAATAAAGTAAGCTAGAGAAGAAAACCATAAGGAAGAGGAAATAGAGTTACAGTACTGTATTGTTATAAAAAAAACCCTGCCTATAAGTGGACCCATGCAATTTAAACCTGTTAAGGATCAACTACATATAATATTAAATATAATAAATATATATTATAGGAGTGCCTGGGTGGCTCACTCATTAAGCATCTGCCTTAGGCTCAAGTCATGATCCCAGGGTCCTGGGATCGAGCCCCGAATTGGGCTTCCTACTCGGCCCGAAGCCTGCTTCTCCTCCTCCCACTCCCCCTGCTTCTGTTCCTTCTCTCACTGTGTCTCTCTCTGTCAAAAAAATAAAATCTTAAAAAAAATAAATATATTATATATTATATCATATAATTATATTTATTTAATAAAACCAAATTTAATAATTATAATTATTTGTATAATAAATATCTTATATAATTAATTATTATATAAAACACATAATTATAGATCAATATATATAATATGTATAATTAGGATTGTTCTAAGGACTAGAGACAATAATTATGTACAGCAACGAATACAATATTTGGTGTATTCGCAGGAGCCAAGCAGACAATAGCTGATAGATTGCTGTCATTTTACTTGTGTGACTTGCAGCCTCTTACATAAGTAACAGAAGAATCACTGCCTTCAGATGGTGGGTGAAAGGTCATGCTGGGCTGCTGGGCTGGAGAATTTCAGATACACGTGTGCTGTATGGTATTTATTCAGAGTAAGACACAGACACTCCAGGGCCCCTACTGGAAAAGGCTTTCAGCTGCCTGTGAAGGAGTGGGTCACAAATAGGGAGTGATTTGTGCACATGAAAGGGTTCATGGGTTGGGGCAGACAGAGTGTGAGAGGCATGTCCAAAACATCAGAGTCACCTGAGGATGTTTTCAAATGTCCTGGACTCTTCAGGGCCTGGAAAGCCAGAAAAGAATTTCAGGGTCACATGTCTATGTGTAGTTTTGCAAAAACTTCCTGGACAATTTCCATCCACTGCCCTCTCCACCTTGTTAAGCTCCAAAGCTGTGGCATGCAGCCAGGTTTGCCCCGGGGCATGGGAAGGGGCCAAGTGGTCCTTGGGCCTCCTGTGTCAGAATCATTCTGTATAAATGCAGATTCTCTGGCCTCCTGAGCCACACATTAGGGATGGAGTCCAGGAGCCCCTATTTATCCAGTTCCCAGGCGATCTGATGGGCAAGTCAAGTTCACAAGGTCTTTGTTAAGTGGCCAGAGTAGGAAAGGATTCTGGAATGAGGCCAGTGCTAGACAAAGAGACCCTGGGCTGGGGGAAGGGGAAAGAACAGCCAGATACTCGCCTCTGAGAAGTCTCCCAGCAGGCAGTGACTAGGCTGGAGCCCTGCAAGCTGAAGGCAAGACTTGGCCTGGAAAGGGTCTGGTCACTCCTGCTGCTCTGCCCAGTCCTCCCCGCGCTAAAGGATTCCTACTCATGTTTGGTTAGATGCCTTATCTTATTTCCTCTGGCAGAAAATCTAGCTTTGGAGCCACTTTCAAGCTACTGTTGGTCCTGGAAGCTCAATGAGAGATCCTTTCCTTGCAGTGAGGAAAGAAAGTGTTTTCATGAACACAGTCATCCTAAAGATTCCTCACTGCAAGGAAAGGTTGTCATTAGGTTTCTGCCAGCAGCCCAGGAAGAAGGGCCACCAGAATGAGGCAGAGTGGAGCACAGGAGAGGACCCAGAGAGAATTCCTAGAGATCTGGATTCAAATCTTGACCATGTGGTTTGAAGCCAGTTGTAGGATACCTTGGACCTCTTATATGCTCACCTGGGAATTTGGGAGAATGCTATCTATTTTACAATTATTATTAGGACTTAATTAGATAATATGCAGAAAAGCATCCTACAGCAAGTTTGTTTCCCCATCCAAGGCCACCAAAAATATGGAGGCTTTGTGAAAAAAAGCTGGATCCCAAATATGAAGGAGTGAGAGGGAATTTTCCTGTTTCAGATTCTCCTTTGGATTTTCTGTCTGAAGTTTGAATTTCAAGCAATTTTATTTGTGGCTTAGGGAAAAAAAGCATGAACTATTAATTAGCTCCCTGCCCTACTGAGTGGTATGAAACTGCAGACAGAGAGAAGAAATGGGCCAAGCGGTAATGAAAAGGAGAAGAGCAGTTTACAAAGTGATGCCTTGCCTTCCCAAAGTAGACTTAGCATCAGTCTGGAATGGGGAGAGATGGGGAAAAATGGCCAGTCAGATATTTATCTGGCTTAATTGTTTTAACTGAAGAATTACAGATTATCAGGTTGAAGACACCTAACAAAAGTGTCTAACAAAAACACATATGTTATGTGTCAAGCACCATACAATGCAAGGGACAGTCTAATGGGGAGATAAATGTATAAATAAACACATGCCATTCAGTGTGTGGAAGATTTCAGGGTCACAGTACAAAATAGAGTGAGCAGATTAGTAGTAACTTGAGCCACTAAATCTGCGGTAAGTTGGATTTGACCTCCTAGAGGTACCTGACCTACCACGTGGACACCAATAACTCACCAGCCAATGTTTTACTTACTTTCAAGTATTAATTAACCCATATGTATCATTTATTAGTAAGTACTCCTTACCATGTTCATGATGAAGAACACTAAGGAGGTATAACTGTCCCAGCAATAATGAGTAAGAGGCCCATTGACAGAGGATGGTTTGACTGGAGCCCTAAGGAATATTTGAGAACACATTCATCACTCACCTTTCCATTTCAACTGCAGACAGATGAAACTTTATCCTTTCACAAAACATTTAGAGATCGGTTTTGCATCATATCCAGGATGCCAAAAGTAATTAAACATCAGCTAATTTTGACTTTGTTTCCATTTGATCAGCCATGGATTGTTTCAGAACTTCACCAAGTCATTCCTGGATTTATCCCACGGTGATCCTGTGCTTATTTGGATTTTTCTCCATGATGAGACCCTCAGAACCCTTCCTTATACCGTATTTATCTGGACCAGATAAAAACCTGACCAGCTCAGAGGTAAGTGAATATACATACAGACATATCTTTTTTTTTAAGATTTTATTTATTTATTTGACAGATCACAAGTAGGCAGAGCAGCAGGCAGAAAGAGAGAGGGGGAAGCAGGCTCCCCACTGAGCAGAGAGCCCAATGCGGGGCTCGATCCCAGGACCCTGGGATCATGACCTGAGCCGAAGGCAGAGGCTTTAACCCACTGAGCCACCCAGGTACCCACGTACAGACATATCTTAACATGGTTTAATTTTACAGGATTTGAACAGGATGTGGGGTTAGGGCTTCATTCTACTTGAGACATTAACCCATTGACCTCAGTGACCCCATTTTCATGATATTTGCCATTTAATACAATGATTCAAACTACTTTCCCTCCTCACACTTACAAAAATGGGAACAGTAGCACATTATATATCTAATAAATATTTTAACTTTTATGGAGTTCTACCATTAGTCTTAACCCATGGTAACTTTCAGGGAGGGCTCAGTTGATTCTGTTATTATACTAATCCTAGAGTAAAATCTCTGCCAGGCCTCCAGTCCTCACAAACTTTTGGGCTGCAGAGGTATAAGCAGGATCTGATAAAGAATCATATCAGTTCTTGAGGATAGTTACTCAGTTGTGAGAAACTATCAACCAGCCGGTGAGACATTCACAGCTTTATCATAGTTTTATCTTCCCCAGAAGGCCAAATTCTCTTACTTCAAAGATTCACGTCCTTTTTTTATAGTAAGTGCAACAAGAAAACTCACTCACCCAACTGGAGAATTACCCTGCGCTGGTTTTATCCCCATCTCCAGCCAGAGCCACGGAAGTCCTGCAGAGTGTGGCTTCACCTGGAAGGCTCCTCAATACTCGTTAATTTGGTGATGAGAAAAGCAAACTTGTTGTGCGGTGATGTAAAATCAGTTTGCCACAGCTGTGTTTCCAATTTTCTCCAGGTAGAAGCCTATCATGATGAAGACAAAACAAAGGACTAACAAATACAGGTCCCAAATCAAACAGTGAACCCAGTGGGGTCTGCTTCTGCAACCTCTATGGACCAGTTAATGTACCAGGTTCCAAGGTGCCACTCAGTCCCACTAGCCTTTCCAATCACTGAACTTTCCCTCACCGTTGACCTTGGGGTCCACAGAGGTTGCTATGGATAACAGAGGCACAAAACAAAGGCTAGTGTGGTGGAGCTGCCCCTACACCCATATCTTGCCCCAAAGATCAGCCCCTTCCGTCCTTCCTTTCTAGGACTGATCACTGAAGTCCGCAGCATTTCTGAGGATAGCTGCGAAATACCCACATCAAGTTGAGGCCAGAATTGAGTAAGCAGAGATTAACCAGTAGAACTGGGAGGGAAAAGACTTTGGGAACCCAGCAAATTTGGCCAGGAGGAAAATCTAATGCATTACTTGTTCCCACTTTGTAATTCTGCAAGGTTATTTACTCTTTGCTGTCTTCACAAGTGTTCATTAGACATTTATGTTCGTAGACATTTATGACACGGTGATGAATCAAATAAACAAAAAGATTGTCACTTCTTTTAATTTTGTAGCCACTTTGTCTGATGTTAAAAATCTTTGAACAAGAAGGAATGGTATTTTCAAAGAGCCTGGAAAACTCCAAAGTGTCTGTTGAGCATTTTTTAATTAATTTAACTCAAATGTATATACTATTTAACTTTAAGAGAGTTCAGATTGCACGTTAAGCAAATATATTCTTATGTTGGGAGGTGCATACATTTATAAATTGGTTTTGTTTTGGAGAAGGGGGAGGAGCTCTCTCTTCCTGGAAAATCAGTTTTCTCTTGTGCTTTTCCATAATATGAAAAACATCCCATCCAACTGGATATGGAATTTGCTATTGGGCAAGCCACCTATACCTTAGTAACGTACTAAGGAAAAGGTATTCCTTTCCCCTCCCAGTGCCTCATGGTGACGTGCTCCACTTTTCAACCTCACAGATCACAAATGAGATCTTCCCAATCTGGACATACTCTTACCTGGTGCTGCTGCTCCCCGTGTTCATCCTGACCGATTACGTCCGCTACAAGCCAGTCATCATCCTGCAAGGAGTCAGCTTCATCATCACGTGGTTGCTGCTCTTATTTGGCCAGGGAGTGAAGGCCATGCAGGTGGTGGAGTTCTTCTATGGGATGGTCACCGCCACCGAGGTGGCGTACTATGCCTACATTTACAGCGTGGTCAGCCCCGAGCACTACCAGAAAGTGAGCGGCTACTGCAGAAGCATCACGCTGGTGGCCTACACAGCGGCCTCGGTGCTGGCCCAGCTCCTGGTGTCCCTGGCCAGACTCTCGTACTTTTACCTCAATGTCATATCCTTGGCTTCCGTCTCTGTGGCCTTCGTTTTGTCCCTTTTCCTGCCAATGCCCAAGAAGAGCATGTTTTTCCATGCAAAGTCCAGCAAAGAAATACGGAAGCAACTGAACAAAAATGAGGCGTCAGATGCACCTTACAAAATTAACACACCAGGCAGTGAAGAGAATCCCACTTCAGAAATACCCACCATTTCAGGGAACCTGGATGGTGGTCCTTTGAGCAGCCCAATGCCGCGAAATGTAGCATTGAATGTTTTTGTGCAGTGGTTCCAAGATCTAAAGGAGTGCTACTCCTCCAAGCGACTATTTTATTGGTCCCTATGGTGGGCCTTCTCCACAGCAGGTTTTAACCAGGTTTTGAACTATGTTCAAATCCTGTGGGATTACAAGGCACCATCCCAGAGTTCTTTCGTCTATAATGGGGCAGTAGAAGCTATTGCAACCTTTGGAGGTAAGCAGACATTGATTTATCTTCCTTTAATGGCTACCCCCATTAAGTTTATCTCTTCAGTTGCTAAACTCCATGGTGGTAAACTGGTTCTGTTTGGAGAGCGTATTAATATTCTTTTTTAAATAGAAGTCACTGGAAAAAAGAAAAAGAGGACCATGACACTTCTATTCAATGTGGTAGAGTTATAGCCAAATAACTCAAGAGCTCAGGATTAAGCACCAAATGATTAAATTCTGGCCAAATTCTTAAGATTCCAATTCACCATCAGGAAAGGGGTTAATAATGCCACTTCTTCTTCCAGGTTATTTTTATATCCAAAGGAAAATGCTCACCTTGTATATAAATAAGGAGATTTTATTATTTTGGTAAAATAGATTGTACTATCAAGCCTTCCAAATTACAATGGGAAGAGTTTTGTTAATAAAGGACTTGATTTAGCTAGTGCCCACCTTCAGCAATTCTAGGTTCCATACCAAAAATTTCCCAAAGTAGCTTTCTTAAGAGATTTAAGTGAGAAGTGGAATAAATGTGAGAGTCAAGATTCCAATATCAGAAGGAAATCTGCCTTTGAAGTTTACTCTACAATAAACATTTATATCCTGGTAAGTGGAAACTTTAATTCAACTGAGACTTTAAAGATATTTTCTAGGAAGTAGGAGCTTTCCACACCCTCATTTACCAAAAATTTCAGAAACTCGTGTGGTGTCTGTTCTCTTATTGTCTCTCTTTTGGGAGGCTTCACCTTAACTCCTGCACACCAAGACTGTGCTGGAATTGGTTCACTGAAATTCTTTCTCCTATGTTCCAAATTCTGGGGGAGAGGGGAAAGAATTTTATTTCCTTTGTAGCACTGATTCTTTCCTGGCTCACACATGGAAAAGTTAATCAAATATCAGTGATTTGAAACATAAATACCTTTCGTTTTGATAAAACGTTTTACCTTTCATTTTTATAAAAAGAACTATAAATACTAACTGTCATGAGTGCCAATTATTCAATCTCTTAAACTCCATAAGTCAATACAGAGTTCACTGAAAATCTCAAGTAAATGAGACCAGATCTCAAAGATACTGAGATGGAGATCAGAAGGTTTAGGTGAAGACTCAACTTTTCTACCCAGTGCAACACATCCTTAACCCATTGACAATGAACCAGAAAGGCAAGTATGAACAGGCTAGGTATACTATCAGAGCAGCCCTTTCACTCTCGTCTGTCCCAGCCCCTTGCATGTTGTAGCAAGTGACTGGGTTTGTGTATCATTCCTCCCCACACTGCTGTGAACCTTTCTGACCCCTTTCTAAAGAACCTTTCTGGCCCTTCTCCCGGGTGCTCTGCAGGGCATGCAGCAGATGCCAATTAAAATTGTGGCAACTACCGGACTGAAAGAAGAGGAGGTAAAGAGAGAAGCTAAAAGAAAACACGGTTGAGAAAAGGATAAATCCACGTTTAGGTGGATCACACTGTTTCTGTGAAAACCACGTATTCACCTTGTAGATTTGCCCAGGATGTGGCTTTGTAAAGAGAGCATGTTGACCTATCCCATGCACAAAGTCAATGTGTTGGAGTTCCCTTAATGTTTCTTTTTCAGGGGCTGTGGCTGCCTTTGCAGTGGGCTATGTGAAAGTCAACTGGGATCTTCTGGGGGAGCTGGCCCTAGCCATCTTCTCCATCATTAGTGCAGGCTCTCTGTTTCTCATGCATTACACGACTGACATCTGGGCATGCTATGCTGGCTATCTGATATTCAAGTCCAGCTATATGCTGCTTATAACCATAGCAGTGTAAGTATTACCAACCATTTCTCTCCACTCCTGAAACCACACCATATTCTCTCTTCACTAGCATTTCTACAGTTCCTCGCAGAACTTTGGAAGGATTTTAATCAATTGTAGTATTTTAAATGTTGATTATGTATTAAATGGGACATAATTAAGCCATGTTTTCACTTAACTATTTGCCCTGTGAATGTTACTAAGATTAGTCATCAGAGAAAAAAAGAGTTCTGTGGGTTCATAACCGAAAGCAATGATTGTGATTTTTATTTCAGACTCTTTGGCCTAACAAGGTGTGGTGCAATCTGATTTTGAATGATTAAGTTTATTGTTAATTTTGTTTAGTTGTTTGTGTCATTCCAGGTATGTACTTTTGTGTGAAGCAAAATAGGCTCAGCAAGTTATAAAAAGTTGGATATTGAAAAAAGTAGATGCAATGATTATAAAAAACTGCATATCCCAGAAATCATATTTTTAACAATGAAAAATGTTTTGTTCCATATGGAAGCTCAGAGGCAGCTGACTATAGGAAATGGGCTTTGGTATTAACCAAAAGAGATAAGAAATATTTGAATTTCAGATCATTTGAAAGAAGTAGAGCCAGAAACTTTGTTAAGTTTTGGGATTTAGGGGCGCCTGGATGGCTCAGTGGGTTAAAGCCTCTGCCTTCGGCTCAGGTCATGATCCCAGGATCCTGGGATTGAGTCCCCCATCAGGCTCCTTGCTCGGCAGGGAGCCTGCTTCTCTCGCTGCCTCTGCCTGCCTCTCTGCCTGCTTGTATGTGTTCTCTCTCTCTCTCTCTCTCTCTCTGGCAAATAAATTTTTAAAAAAAGTTTTGGGATTTAATGTGTCAAAAATGTTTGATAAGGAAATGACAAAACAGGAATATAAGCAGACTTCGAAAAGATCATGGAACAAAAGAAAGAGAATAAGCTTATTGGCAAGTTTACTTTTTTAATGGAAATATGTCAGTTTAATGAATCAAACTCATGTCTCTTAAGTTTCTCTTTTCATGCGAGAGGACATTGTTAAGGTAGGATTATATTGCTTCTTTTCATTTTAAGAATCTTCAGAACCAAAAGTCTTTTGCCTCTGTTCCACAGAAGAGCTCTAAATAACATACACTAGCCAGTCATTCATGAGTTGTAAGATGTCAAAATCTATATAATTATTAAAAACAAACTAATTACAGATTCACTCAGTTGCACAGCCAGCCAAGATCTGGATCTTCCAAAGAATAAATACCTTACCTACCCAAATTTGAAACTGTTGATACAATTGACAGTAAAAAGAATAACTCTCCAAATGATTCCACAGATGGGATTTTGCTGGCATTTTCATAAAAATTCACTGTGAAACAGTATCTAAAACCGGATAGCATCGAATATTCTCAGGTTATGAGAACTTAGAATATTTAGTTTTCACTTCTGGAAGCATTAAATTGGATTAGAGTAATTGTGCTGTATTTCCTCAATGGGTATTTTAATTCAGCCTTCAACCGTATTTTTAAAATTAATTCCCTTTCTTTGCTCTCCCTGTTTGTCTAAACTGGAGGAGATTTAGACAGAGTATTGGTTACAAGACATCGCTTTTATCTTCAGTTTCTGCCTTTTAAAGATAAGAGTCCCTTGTGTATTTTGTTTAAAAAGAAATGTAATTCAACATTCAATGACAGATTTCAGATCGCAGTTAATCTGAGTGTGGAACGCTACGCCCTGGTGTTTGGAATGAACACCTTCATGGCACTGGTAATTCAGACCATTATGACAGTGATTGTTGTAGATCAGAAAGGACTCAACCTGCCAATCAGCATTCAGGTAAGCTGCAGTATTGCTGTTTTCCTAGTCAGGTAGTTGGGGGAATGCAGAATACTTAGGTAATCCAATATTTAATTTCTTGAATTGCTTAGTTGGGCAAATTTTAAAATAAGCAATTCCTTAATTATCATATCATAACACAGGTTTTCAGCAATAAGCACAGTCGGTTAGTGTTTGCCTGTGGCTCCTAACACCTCATCAGGTGCTACTCCGGTCATTGTGTCCCCTGTATGTCTGCTCTCCCTCCCATCATCCCCTTCCAAGGGTTAGGAGATTTGACTAGAAATGGTACATGGCTGCAGAGCTCAGTTCCTTTTCCCTACTCTACCATGGGACTTGAAATTAGCCCAATTTCACATTTTACATTTGGATCTGGGAAAGGGAGGGAAACGCATGTAAGAAGTAGCCTCATTATATAAAATTTACTCATAGCATTGCACTACCCTGCAGACATAAACACATAGATTAGTGGGATTTAGTGTTTTTTTCACTTTGGTGGTGTTAACTGGGATTTGAACCCAAGTAACCTTGGCTCCAGAGCCCACCTTCTTAGTTACTGCATTTCTTACACCTTTATAGCTGATTCTTCTAAGATAGAAGAAAATATTGTGAAAATCTAAATGATGCATGTTAAAGTCCTAGGTCTTAGTTATCCCACAATCCAAGCAAATCAGTGCCATGACTGTGTATTATCAATGATATACACAGTCATATTTTATGTGTGTCTAATTAATTCCATTTGTTTTTCTCTAGTTTTTAGTTTATGGGAGTTATTTTGCAGTTATTGCTGCTATTTTTCTAATGAGAAGCACATATATCATCTACTCAATCAAATGCCAAAAGCAAGCCCAGAGCTCTCCAGCAAGTCAGAATCCAGATGAGCTCCACCCAGAGGGACCAAGGAATGTCATTACAGGAACAAAGCTCTGACCTTACGGCAGCCACTGCATCCACTGAACAAGGATCTTCTTGGTCACAAAGTCACTGAGCGCCATAAACTGACACACTTCCAAAGCCTGGATTTCAATGAACCTTTTCAAAACCACAACAAAATCTTAGTTTTAGACCAGATACTACGTGCCCAGCTGGATGCAGTTGACAAGACCCGTGACCTCAGTCAAATAGCTGATATTGGGTACTCCAATGAGTAGCAAGGATTGGGAAGTTCTGGTTTTGGTTACTCCCTAGAACATATCAATGGCATGGAAACAAACCATGAGAAAACTTCACTCAACCTGCAGTTGATGTTCCCCATTCGTAAGCAGAAATACTAACTGGACTGACCCCTTTGCTTGTTTTAGATATTTTATCTTACCAAAACAGGCAAGAGATGGACATTTTTTTTTTAAAAAATCACATAACCATTTGCCTCCTTCTTTCATTAAGTGTATTTCTATATTACTTGCAGTTCTCTGCGAGAATTTCAAGGTCTGGTCCCATTTCTAAGGACCTTTCTTCAATCCTGACAACATGGTATTAATCACAAGCTATTATTTGATTATATCACCTATTTAATTCTGTCATGATTACTTTTTACTTTGTGTTCTGCTGAGCTTTGTTGTTGAAACTTGACCTCAGGAATAGCCCCAGACATTCCTCTGTGCCCAGAGAATGACATTCAAGTCAATTGCTGGGGGCCCGAGGGGTGGCAGTGAGTTTTCTCCCTACTATGACCCTAGATGGGTGTTTCAATGCCGTGTCGGTGTGATCTCTAAAATAGAAAAACTGAAGTAGAAATTTCCAGAGTTTCTAAAAGTATTTGTAAGTAAGAAAACACTGATGAGGGGAAACACCTACTTTTTAAATGGCAGAGATTGTGCTACATAAAATAAGGTGTGCAAAAATATTAAAGAGCCTTTCTAAATTTTTGATGAATTGTGCTGAGAATCGCCTGTGCTTGTGGCCTTTAAAACTTCAAAAGAGGACACATGGAACAGTCTGCCATGAAAATAAAGAGTGCTGATTCAAGATTTATGTTTCAAATACACTTTTCTCCAAATTCTAAAATTCTATTATGGACTGAAAATAAAATTCAGCCCCAAAGCCAACACTTAGTTAGTAGAGAAAACTAATGACATTCCTACTTCTATCAAAACCAAGGAAAGGATGATCACTATTATTCTCATTTAAATTATTGTACTAGAAGTACAAGCCAAAACAATTACACAAGCAAAAAAAAAAAAAAAAAGAGAGAGAGATAGAGAGAGAGAGAAGAACTGTAAAAGAGAAAGTAAAATTCTCACTATTCTGAAAGCAAGTATATACCCAGGAAACTCAGCTAAAAGCTGAGATTGCAGCATAGAAAGTATATGAAGTCAACTGCCTTCATGATACAACAACCATTTAGAAGATTCATGGAAGTAGAAGACCCAATTTATGGTAGGACAAAAATAATACAAAATAATTACATGCAATCTATTTAATAAATGTGTGAAGCATATATGAATATGCCTACAAACACTTCTGTAGATTACAAGGTAATACCTAAACACGTGGAAAAGCGTATCTTGTTCTTGGTTAGGAAGAAAAAATATATAAAGATATCATGCTTTCCTTTTTTTTTTTTTTTTTTGTTAATATATAATGTGTTATTTGTTTCAGAGGTTCAGGTCTGTGATTCATCAGTTTTATATAATATCCAGAGCTCATTACTTGCCCATCACCCAGTTGTCCCATTCCCTCACCCTCTCCCCTCCAGCAACCCTCAGTTTGTTTCCAATAATTAAGAGTCTGTTATGGTTTGTGTCTCTCTCTGGTTTTGTCGTTTTACTTTTCCCTCTCTTCCCCTATGATCATGCTTTCTAAATGAATTTGTAAGTTAAATCCTATCCCGGAGGTAAAAAAAAAAAAAAAATACAACATTTTTTTTTTCCAGAACTAGTGGTTCTAAATTGTATTTGGAACATTAACAAAAAAGAACCAAAAAAAATACTTTGTCAAGTGGGAAAATGAAATTAAATTATTTGCAGAGAATAAAATTCTATTTAAACTCTCATCTGCAGTAACATAGCAACATGAAGAGACAGTCCACTGGAAAAGAGTAAAAAGTTTTGAATCAATTCTTAGTTCCTAATGGGTTAGACTATGATTAAGATAGCCTCTCATACAAAAGGAAGAAAAAGATGGAATATTTAATAAATTGGAACAATTTTCCTCAAGGAAAACAAAGGTTGCACCCAAGAATGAAAGAATAACTCCGTCCATATGTAATATATATATGTGTTAAAGCACAGATTTAAAAAAAAGAAGGGCACCTGGGAGGCTCAGTCAGCTCCGGTCATGACTCCAGAGTCCTGGGATCGAGTTCCACACGGGGCTCTCTACTCAGTGGGAAGCCTGCTTCTCCCTCTCCCACTTCCCCTGCTTATATTCCCTCTCTCGCTGTCTCTCTCTCTCTGTGTCAAATAAATTTAAAAAATCTTTTTTTTTTTTTAAGAAAGAAGAAAAGAATGAAACTTAAAAATAAAGAAACCACAAAAATACTAGGGAAAAAATATAAACATTATTTTATAACCTTAAATCTTTCTAAAGTAGTATAAAACCTTGAAGTCATGTAATAAAGTGAATTGACAGCATAAAACTAAACTTAACGTATGGAAGAAAAGTCACTGCAAACAAACCCAAAGGACAGACGATAATCTGGAGTATATATTACAACGCTTCAAAGCTGCTTTCCTTAATTTAGAAAAAATGAATACCAACCAATAAGAAAAAGATCAGTTACCTGATAGAAAAATGGGCAAAGCATGTGAACAGGGAATTCAGAGAAGGCAAAATACAAATGGCCCGGACATGTAGATGATATTTAAAGTAACTCATGAAGGAAACATTCATTAATAAGCTACCATTTTTCACCTGGCAGACTAGAAAAGTGTAACAATACACTTGGTTCTCTGGGGATTAGTCAACAGGCAGTATCAAAGATGGGTGGTGGGGGTATAAATTTGCTTCATTGCTGTGAAGGAAAACTCTGCACTCTCCCAATTACGAATTCCACCTATAGATTTCTCTGGTAGAAATAAACACTACTAATGAACACTGCCTGCCTGGGAAATGACTCGCACAGGTGTTTTTCACTACAGTAGTGTTTCCGAGAACAAAGGATTAGAAGCTATTTAAATGTCATTATATTGAGACAGGGAAAATGTATTATGGTGCATCAATATATTCACTTGTAATAATATTAACTGGATAAAAAATTGAGGAAGAGACTTACATAGTGATAAAAGTATCTAAAATAAATTATTAAGTGGGAAAAGTCAAGTGCCAAAATAATGAGTATGGTAGTTCAGTATTTGTGCAAAAGTAAGGTGAAAAATACCTGTATCAGCTTATATACACACATACAACTTTTCTGGAAGGACAAATAAAACTGCTAACAGTTACCTGGTATGGAGTAATGAGGAAGGGGGGAGGGGAGAAAAAGGCATCTTTCCATGGCTTTTGATGCTTGTACCACGTAAATTACCCATAACTAAAATTGAAATGCTAACTCTTAAAAAGTGTTTAGCCTCTTGGGATATAAATTAGCATCTAAGAATAAGGAGCTGGAGATTTTTATTTTTTACATGTAACCATTCTGATTTTTTTTCATTTTTTTTTTTTTTGGAACATGCGTGAGTAACCTAAATGTACATGTATAATCAAAAGGAACAAACGCAGAAGACAAGAGTATTTTGAAAAGAGGTTTTTTTCATTTGGTATCTCATTAAAGAGAAATGTTTTTTAATATTAAAACATAGATTTGCTTTGTAAGGTGTGGGGTTTCTTGACTGGTTGTAACACCTTATGGAGAAATACGTTAAATGCTTTGTTTTGTATGTAGAAGGACTCATGGAAATGACAGACTTCATAAACAAATAACAGAAGTAAGGGGCTTGAAATGACAAGAGAGTAAATATTTCTGAGAAGAAAAGGGTTATGGTTCTAGCTTGTCTACACTTGCCCTTTGTCTATACTAGGCCCTTGATTTCGGTGAAATATTTAGATCCAGTTTAAGGAAGGTGTCACGTGAAGGTGCACGTGGGGCGCATTTGACAAATAAGCAGGGTCACTGGGTCTTTCAGGAAGGGGCACGCACGGTAGCGGGTGTTGAAAGGTCCGAGGGAAGTGCCTACCAACGTCATGAAAAAATGACAGGTGTCTGGGAGTGGTGGCCGGCGGCCTGGCCGGGCCTCCCAGCAGCTCTGAGTTTGCGTGGCTGCGGCACACGCATACCATTTCCCTTGGCCAAGGGGACAGGTGCACCCACTTGCCATAGCAGAACACAGGCAGGATCACTTCGGGTTGTTTTCCGAATTTCTCTGCATTTTTTACTTATTTAATTTCTTCTAATTTTTTTACCTCCTTCACCTGTTTCTCCCCCCACCATCGCCACCCCCAACAAATAGCTTCTTCCTTATTACTTATTCCAACATCCAGAAAAGAAACGAGAGTTCCTTCTCATTTATATGCTTACTGGAAACATTGAGAGTTTTTGCCTCGTGGAAAGAGGATGGTCCCTCTACTGAACAGAATTCACTTGCATGCCTGTCCCTAAGAATTATGTCATGTTGCTTTTAGATATCTGCGATGTCCAGAGCTGGAAAATAGCTCCCTGGTAATGAAAAGCTAGAATCAGGTAACTGGCAAAATGTGCTTTAGAGTCTAGACAACGTCTGTCTCATTCTTTCCTGATGCACAGATACTCTCCTATGTATCAAAACACCTCAAATTCAGTTGAAAAGTAAAAAAGCAAGACGAAAGCACAATATTCTGACCTGATCATTGACTGGATGTTCCTTTACTCTTGCAAAGGCAGAAAAACATCACCTGTGGGAGGCCAGGGGGCTTGGGGGTAGGTGGTGGCGGTGGAAGGGTTCTGGTTGTGTCTACACTGAGTGGGAGGGAGGCTGCCCTGGGGGTCTTCTCTGAGTCTGTGGTTCTAGGACTTTGAGCCACTGAGCACAAAATTCTAAAGAAATTCTGAATTAAGTTCCTTCGATCTTGGCAGCCTGGGGAAGATGTTGGCTGGCATTTTTTTCCCCCTGCCACCCATATTCTCAAAAAGATCTGGATCCAAACATTAAGTCTCTATTGGACTTTACAGGGGAAGCTGGCTTCAGAGGGTGTATCCCTAGATGTCTGGACTATGCCCTGACAGTTTGGCAGGGAGGGAAGTGGCCCAGAGGACTGGGAGCCGGGCGATCTCCAGCGCTGGCAGTGTGAGAGGCAGAGAGCAGAACTCGTCCGGAAAGAAATAAAAACAAGCAGAACTGAGAAAAGATAGCTTGTCGAATTTGCCAACCTCCTGTCTCCCTGACAATGAAAGAAGGTATGGGAAGGTCTGATGTGGTATTTGATGGA